AAATCTTCAACGGGAAGAACCAAAATAATTCGAAATATTTTAAATTCACCCTGCTTAATAACTGTCCATATACTTCCAAGATACGTTAAGAAATCTAACTTTTTACACTTGTTTCTTATTGTTGTTAAACATGATTATAATAAACATTTTTAGTTCAATTGCAACAATGATAATTTCAATTTTTTATTTTATATAACATAACAAATTTTCAAATAAAAAAATATCAGATTGTCAAATCAACTTTAAAAATTACCTTCTTTTTAAAATAAACTTTATATCTACCATAAAAGTAAAGACACATTATTAAAGTAAAGAAATAGAAATTAATTATCTGACATAATAAACTTCAAATATTGAGCTATCAGAGCAGAGCATTCCACAAGTTCTTTTGAGTAATTAATTGTTGCAGCTATAAAACTCATGGTCTTCACAAAATTTTCGCATTTCGCGAAATTCGACTGAAAAATTCGCATTTTATTGCAAAACGGTTCGTTCGCTGGAAACGCTAATTTATAGTTCTATGTATTATCATCTCGTTGTATTGGTTTATAGTTCTTGTATTATCATATCGTTGTATTTGAAGTCAATGAATATTCGGTTTATATTAACTTAGTCCCCCTCCCCCCATTAAATCATCTTATTGTCCCCCCCCCTACCTCCATACACCTGCTACATCCCCGCCAATCTACTTCAACCACTGCAATTCGAACTAAAGAAACCTGCGTTTCTCCCCCTCCCCTCCTCTTGCTTTTGGTGGTAAATAATCATAACTCCAGAATAAGTCAAAATGGGACATGTCCAGTATCTCCAGCTGTTTATAATGTGCGCGGACCGGATTAAAGTATCTTTTTCTTCCCTTTTGAACCATTTGCAATTTTTTAAATGTTCTGCATGGTCGGATGGATATAAAAGTCAAGAGAAGCTGTCAATTATAAAGCTTCTCTTTGATTATTTGTAATTAGGGTTTCCAATTCCAATTCTGTTGCGCTTAGGTCAAGTTAAGACACTTTCAGGGCCGAGCTAGGGGGCCGAGCCCCGCGACTAGGAAAGGCTAGGGGCCGAGCGCCGCGGCTAGAACAGGCTCTCTCTGTCTTAAAGTTATTTAACGCGGCAAGCGCGCGTACCTCCTTTGGGCTGCTGCCTATTAAACACCTGTATGAGATATGAAGGAACTCGACTTCTTGTTTGGTGGTTATACCTTTAACAAGAATGCGCCTTAGCAACAGGTTCTATCCAAGCCTATTTCCAGACGGAATTTTTTCATCATTTCAATCGGATATGTCAAAGTTTGATCATAAAAATTATGCATTTTTAATAAAATCTGAATTATATTACGTTTTCTGATGCATGTATATACATTTTTGTAATTAAAAAAATAACACTAATACAATTTTTAATCTTAAAACAGTGGTTAAAATTGAAGTTTGTAAACTTCGAAAATGTTTATTATCTAAATTATGCTTAATATTTATAACTTCACTTGGAAGGGGGGGGGGGGTCAAGGGAAAATTCTCAGGAAAATTTTCCGATGGTTTGTTCCCTGGCGGGCAGTCTGTGGATGGTATTTATTGTTAGGTCTCCCCTGTACAATCCACAGTATATCATTGAACCACCTCCACCATACATTCACCTTTATGTGGACTATACTAACAGCAGACGGGGTCCAAATAGTTAAAATAATTCAACTAAGTGAAACAAGAAAACCGATTAGAAAAGATTTCATAAAACATTCTAGAAAAGATTTCATAAAACATTCTTAAGGTAGGGATTTGATTTTCTTCTTAAATGTAATTTTCTAAAATTTCAGAGATTTTTAGTATCTTAATCCTTAAGAAAGATTTCTTCATTCTTCGAACAAAGAAAAAAAAAAGTAAAACAACATAAGAGGTTACAAAATTTCATTTTCAAGTTGAGAATGAATGATTAAAAAACAAGTTTAACAATCAAGTATTATTATTTTTTAAAATCTATATTCCGTAGATTTAAATCCTGAAATAAATGTATCTATAAACTCCTTTATTCAAGTGATTAATGCTATTAATCTAATCCTTCGTCACCTTCAAATAAAAGTAAATTTTGTTTTGATTAAAATATTTGGGGGAAATTAAATTGATATTCTGAAACTCCGAATAACAAATATATATATAACCGAGTTTTTTTTCCATGCTAACATAACGAATATATAAAAGTGAGCCTATATTCATATTTACTTGAAAATACACTCAAAGGAAGTGTAAATGTTCTCAATTGGATAAAATGTTTAGGATGGTTTGTTTATCAAAGATGGCAAGTAAATATCAGAAGTTTTCATCGGCTTCTTATGCGTTGGCGAGGTAAGATATCGAACTCATGAAATATGCGATGTAAATATTTTTACATCGTTAACCCTATACAGACTGTCGTTAACCCTATACAGACTGTCGTTAACCTTATACAGACTGTTGTTTACCTTATACAGACTGTCGTTAACCCTATACAGACTGTCGTTAACTCTATACAGACTGTCGTTAACCCTATACAGACTGTCGTTAACCCTATACAGACTGTCGTTGACCCTATACAGACTGTCGTTAACCCGATACAGACTGTCTTTAACCTTATATAGACTGTCGTTAACCCTATACAGACTGTCGTTAACCCTATACAGACTGTTGTTAACCTTATACAGACTGTCGTTAACCCTGTACAGACTGTCGTTAACCTTATACAGACTGTCGTTAACCCTATACAGACAGTCGTTAACCCTATACAGACGGGGGGGCAGAATCTATGTCTAACGGATTAGAGTAAAGCTATCCAGGGTTGTAGCGCACGAACATAGCCCAATTTTTCATGGCATAGCTCATTAAAAATATTAGACCGCTAACTTTAATAGTTTGGGTGCAGGGCGGTTTGAAAAAAATGTTTAAAAAAGGATTTTTTGTGTGTGTTTGACAATTATTAAGATTTGAAACATGCTCATTTATTCATTTTTCTGTATTATTATTTTACTGTTATGTAGCCCTAGACATGTACATTTTAGTTTTAGTTTGAAAGTTGTAGTTTGAAAAATGCTGATACATTTTTTCATGAGAGGTGTGTGTGGTGTGTTACTGTGTTCAGTAAACGCCAACACGGCTGAACCAATTGTGTCCAAAAGAATTAAACATTTGTCTTTTCCTTTGATTTTCTAAACCTTTGAAATTGGAACCCGATATCGTGTCACCTTTCAAACTAGGAATTAGACTAGATCTTACAGACAAAGGTTAACGTTTGAAATATATAAGGTTACAACATTAGGTTGCAAATATATGGAGATGATAAAATTAAGAGATTGAGGCAAGAATTCAGTTTCTTTGTTGTTTATTAATGCACAGGACCGCGACCGGCCAGGGAAGGTTCATGGCCGATCAAAGTCAAAATAAAAAATATCTTTTAATTTTTTGAAAACTTGGAAAAACCACGAAATAAAACGGAAATTATTTTATTTTTATGTTGGACGAGTATAAATGGTAACCATGAAGTGCATTATCTAAAAGCTAGAATTATTAAGTTCATTTGATGTTGCTTTACAAAACATTTTTAAAATAAAAAATTTAGTAACATTGGTCTGTTTACAGTGCACTACAATTGCTGTGTCTCATTCTCATTGGAAATTTTAAAGCTTGATTCTCGAAGTCGTTTTCCTATTTCAGAGTTTTCTGGTTAAAAAGTGGTAAAAAAGTGGTAAAAAAGTGGCGCAAATCGCGCTGAAATTCTAGTAACGCTAACATATCACAGAATTAAACGAGATAGACACAAATATTGTTTTGTTCAATTAGTTGCATTGCACAGTCTACATTACATAGTGGATATAGGTGATATATCAAGGATTTCAAGCCACCTCTCCTCCACTTACTCATGAGAACCTATAACACTCCCAATTAGTTTGGGAATTTGGCACTTAAATGAATTTAAGTGGATTTTACTTGCATGCAATTGTGAGCCTTTATTCCGCACAATTCCACGCAAAGGAATTCCTGCACATGTAATCCCTACTTTGGACATTGTAAATTTAATTAAGATTTAACTTTGGAAATTGTGCTTTTGGAAATGAAAATGCACTTGGGAATTTTTAGGCTTTAAAAGATTAAACTTGTTAATTTGTAAGTTTGTTTCGGAATTGGCCACTTGGGAAATTGACAACTAGATAAATTATAATCTTGGGAATTCATGAAATTGATACATTTTCGAAGATGACACTTAAATGGAAAAAGTATTAGAGTACTAGGAAAGTTAAAACTAAAGAAACTGCAAATTTAGAAAGTTGAAACTTGGGAAATTTATATTTGTAAGTTAAGAAACTTGAAAAATTACAATTTTGGAAAGTTGAAACTTGATAAATTGCAAATTTGGGATAAGACTAGGGAAAATATGGCTTTAGTTACATAAGATGGTTATAAGTACATATTTTTGACATATTTTTGTATGAAATTATAATTAAATAGAAAAAAGGGGTTAAAACAAGTATTGCAGAATGGGTTATATCCAATTGTATTGTAAAAAATCTGACTATTGACACCTTGAAGACAAAGAGTATAGATTAGTGTAGAGTGGCATTAAATCGAAAAAAGTGTAAAAACGCCATTTGTTTTAATGTTTTCATGAAGGTGTACTTCACACATTAGTGCTATATAATCTTTTGGCCCTGATATACTAGTTCAAACCAGTACACTAGTATATCACGCTGTTAGAGAGTGTTTCTGCCCTACCTTTATAGCCCGTAACATAGGGGCTTCGTGCCCAGATTATATGTCAGGAGGATGATTCAAAATTGTATTTAAATTTTTCACCATGTTGACATTTTCCCTCTGGTACATGTAATATGAAATAAAAATGTATTATCTTAAAACAATCAAGTGTCTTTGTGATTTTTTTTTAATCTCCGCGCACCTATTTGCGCAGAACCTACGTTGGACGACATGTTATTTGTTTCCTTGATAGAAGATCCAGCATTCAGTAGGCTATAGGACCAGAAACACTTCAGAGTTAATATCTGATTATTTCTGAAGAAAAAAAACATGAAAAAACCATGTTCATAAACAGAAATTGTTTTCGAGAGTTAGAAAAGTATTTCAAGAGTTTTTGCAAAGAAAACAAAGAATTTTGCTCCAAGAGTTTTGGTAAAAACAAGAAACAGTTTTGTTCCAAGAGTTTTGGCAAAGAAAACAAAGAGTTTTGCTCCAAACGTTTTGACGAAGAAACAGAAAATTTCAAATATTTCAAGTTTTCCCTTTTCCTTATATTTTATCCCAGCTTCTACAGCTACTTCTACTTCTGGCTTGCTTGAACTCTTCAAGCTTGGATATCTACTGCTTATAGCGTAAGGATATCTCCTTCAGATATCTTGGATATCTACGGCATCTAGCGTATGGATATCTCCTGAAGCGAGCTAAAAATTGCCTTTCAACTATAGTCTGGATATCTCCTTTTATCAGCTTGGATATTCTTTTGAGTACTCTTCTCTTCTGGATATCAGTTTTTTTGTCTGAAGATCTTTCTGGGCAACTGGTTCCAAAATGAAGAAAGAGGGACTAAAAAAATTACTGTCGAAGAACAAGGCGGATTTGCTTATGAGCAATATATCTAAATCCTACAGGTAAAATTACTGTCGAAGAACAAGGCGGATTTGCTTATGAGCAATATATCTAAATCCTGCAGGTAAAATTACTGTCAAAGAACAAGGCGGATTTGCTTATGAGCAATATATCTAAATCCTACAGGTAAAAAGGTTGAATAAAAATTCAATGCAAAAAATTCTAGATACGATTTCTAAATGCATTCACTTCTTTTATCGGCATACTTAATGCATAGATGTCTCAGGTGGAAATATATGTGCCTGAAACTAGTTTCTAATTCTTGCTTGGCAACCCCCCCCCCCCCCC